AAGTCACTGGTTCAACAACAGGGTTTAAAAAAGTCTTCAGCTTTAATTCAAAACTTCAGGTTTCTTTTTCTTCTTCTTTTTTTTTTTTTTTTTTTTGGAATTATTTTCCTGAGCCTTTTGTTTTACAGTATATTGTAAACTTTTATGTTAAAGAAAAAAATATACATTTACAAATTGTGAGATTTTTAAGAGAAATTTTCTACAATGTATACTGGCTTATTTTTTAATTTAAAACAGGGTTTCCGGCACTGGTGGCAGTGAGGGAGCGATTGAGCCTCCTCACTCCTGGCTTTGAGGGTTGGGCTCTTTGGTCCAGAAACTCTGGGAGTTTAAAGAAGTCTACTGAGTGTGTTTTGTTTTTGTTTATTCCTTGCTTTTGTCGACTGAACTGCCTGGGATGTCCACAGGTGCGTGGGGTCACAGCCCAGCCTCCCCTGCACACCACACCCCGGCACCAGGGGCGGAGGCCGAGCTCCAGGCACGAGGCTTCAGGGCGTTTCCCACTGGCCAGCTGACCCTGGTTTGAATAAAAGAAGTACGTTTGGACTAGAAACCCACGTTGTGTCCGTTTATTCCCAGGGCTCAGCCCTAGTCAGGGCTCAGATCCAAAGTGGGGTCCGTGGGGCTCACTGCCAAGGAGCTTTCTGTGGTACCTGGGGAGGGGGGAGCAGCTGGCCCCAGGTCTGGTTCACTCAAGCGAGGGTGGAGCCCAGGTGGGGGTGGGGCAGGGGTTTGGCCCGTGGGAAGGCAGGGTGAGATGGGGAAACCTGGGGTCAGGGGGGCCCAGACCCCCACAGCAGCCACCCTTCTGCAGGACCCTCCTGATCCTGGGGGTTGGGTGCTCTGTGACGTGGCTTCTGTCCAACTTGACAGCCCAGCCCACGCACAAGGGACTTTGCTGTTTGCAGATTCTGCACCCCAGAAGAGGGAAGGGGCGCCCTGGTTCAGGATCTCTTCAGCCAGGGGGGAGGAGCTGGTCCCAGGAAGAGGCTGTGAACAAGATGGTGAAACCCTGTTCTAGTGAGATGAGGGTGGGGGGTTTCCTGCAGATCCTGGTGCTTTACAATCACGCGTGCTTTTCGTCCCTGCAGTCGTAGGGCGTAGGGGCTCGGGCCGGTGGACAGGGCTGTTGCCCCAGTCTTGAGGCGAAACCCTTCTGCCTTTCCCAGCTCCCAGGGTCCTGCACCCAGGACTGGGGGTCTTGCGTGGGTCCTCACCTGTACGTTGTGAGATTGTTGGAACTCGAGTAATGGTGGGGTCTTAGAAGGGAGAAATTGGGGGAAAAGAGGCCACAAACAGCCAACTACCCTACCCAGGTGCTGTCTGCTGTTGGGCCAGTCAGTCTTCCAAACCAAAAGCTTCTGAATGATGGTACCACTGCGGCTGTTGGTGCCAGGATCCGGTGCACGGTGGCACCTGGAGGTTATTGGAGATGGCTTTGCCAAGGGGGCGGCACTGGAGGCAGCACCAAAGGGAGGCGCTCTAGGGTGGCTTGGGCACAGCCAGGGGCCAGGTCAGCAGGCAAGTAGGCACCAGGTAAGTGAGGGTGGGGCCCCCTGGTGGCCCAGGGGTTCAGTCTCAGCACTGCCACCATCACTGCGTTCCATCCCACAGGGAGCGACCCACAGGCCGCAGGAGACCTGTCCCGGCTGCTCCCCTCAGCAGTGGATTTCAGAGTGCTCCCCACTCTCTGGTGGATCCCCACCCTGCACTTGGCCTATACCCCCTCTTACACACACACACAACCCACAGGGCAGAACCCCCAAAGCAAACATGGTGAGAAACAGCAACAGGATTTACTTACACAAGGAATGAGAAATGGGAGAGCTGAGAAGAGTTTTAGGCTAGAGCTTAGCCAGACACCATCTGTCACCCACGCAGCGACAACTGAGCAGTCTTCACAGACACCCCCACCCCACAAACAGGGTTTAGCTGCCCTGAGCCACTTTCACCCTTTTCCCATCAACTGCCCCCCCACTACCACCACCACTAAGGGTGGAGGCAGAAAGCTGCACCTGGGGCCCTGGGGCCCTGGCACCACACTAACTCGGGCATCGCTCCTCTCCTGTTTGCGAGAGACTGCAAGCCCCTCCATCACAGAAGTGTCACATCCAAGGTTCAGAAGATTAGGGAACAGAAATCTTTGAGGACTGTTGTAAAGGCCACAATTGAGGTGTTTTGTTTTTCAAATTTTTTAAAAAGATACACTTTTTTTCTCCCAAGATTTATTTATGCATACAAGAGCTGGGGTACAGGCCAGAGGTGTGGGGGTGAGAGGATTCACCAGAGACAGAGTGGGGAGCAGAACAGGCAGATAATCCACTGGGAGGGGAGCAGCAGGGAGACAGGGGAGGTCTACAGCACCCTGGGGTCCCTCCCTGGCAGAGATGGAACTCCTGCTGCAGCTTCATAGTGCTGCGTTTAACCCTTGGGCCACCAGGGAGGCTCCCACAATTGAAATTTTAAAACAAATTTCATCCAAAATGTGCAGGGTGCCTCCAACGTACCAGGAGTGAGATCAATAAGGAACAAAATAGTCACAACCCCACTCCCCCAGCTACACACCCACCTCATGATCTTGGTGGATGCTCAGCTTAGCTCACTCCAATAAAGGGAAGAGCCCCCTGGGGACCAGACTGTCCCCAGTTGTCATACTCCCAAACCCCCACTCCAAGCACAGTTGTCAGGCAGGACCTAGCCCTTTCGGCCAGCGCCAGGTGCACAGCGCCGGGCACTGGTTCTTGTTCTGGATGCCAATTATGGGCAAAACTAAGGTCCCCTGCAAAAGAGCGCTGTGCAGACAATGGAGGGGGGGCCCAGACAACGGAGGGGGGCCCAGTCAGCTTGGAACTCCAGGACTGAGTGCGCCCCAGTGCTGCAGTCACCCGTGCACTGGGAGAGCCATCTCTGGCTCGGGGTTATTCGCTTTTCTGGGAATGTGGACGCAGCTATGGAGGGCTGAGCTTCCTTGGACGCTGGCCCATCCCTGCAGGCCAGCCGCAGCTTCCCACAAAGCCACTAGCCTAAGCCACCTCACCCACTGAGCTGGGCCAAGGCCAGAGCCTCCGTTGCCTACTGAGCTGGGACAGAGCCCACAGTGGTGTCAGGCGCGAGGCCTGCTGCTCACCCTACCCCAGGCCCTTTGCACACCGCTCCATCTCTCCATCCTACAATGTCCCTCTCAGCAGGCTTGGCTGCTTTCTCCATCCAAGTTTTTCCCTATATCCAAAAGGGCAGCATTATTATATAAAAAAAGAAAATGAGGGCCCAACCCCCCCCTCCCGCCAGTGGCACAACAGGTTAAAGTGGCGCTATAAAGCTGTCCACAGCCACTGCAGCATGAGTTCAACCCCCAGCCAGGGAGCTGACCCACGGCGCAGCAGACCTCCTTACCAGCCCCTGCTCCCCTCAGCAGTTCCCCTAAAGACTCTAGGAGTCCTCTCACCCCCTGCACCTCTGGCCTGTACCCCAGTTCTTGTATGCACAAATAAATCTTAAAAAAAAAAAAAAAAGGAAAGGACGCTGGCACAGACACCAACGGGCAGAGAGCCGCCTCGGAGAGCCGAAAGGCCACGAAGAGAATCTTGCACAGTCCAGCGCGTGGCCTCGGGGCAAGAGTGGCTTCAGCCCTTCAGGTCTAGCAGCGCAGACACACCTGGGTTCACCTCGGCCCTCTGGCTTCCTGCTTTCTTTTACTCTCTTGTCTTTTTGTTCTCGGGTGCCTCTGTACATATTTTTGGTAAATATTTATTGAAGAACTGGGGTGTAGGCCAGAGGTGTCAGGCGGAGGGTGTGCGAGGACTCCCCAGAGACAGAGTGGGGAGCAGAACAGGGAGACTGACTGCAATCCACTGCTGAGGGGAGCAGCGGGGAGACGGGAGAGGGCTGCTGCGCCCTGGGGGTCGCTCCCTGGCCGGGGATCGAACCCAGGCTGCAGCGGCTGTGGACAGCCT